CAACAAGCATAATTCAGATGAACAACCATGAGCAAGGATGTAAGCTCTTAGGATAAGAAAGTAAGGATCAAGATGATTTATAGAAACTTACTGACCTGACAGAACTGCACTCTTTCTCTCTACACTGACCATGCATTACAAGGAACTTCCCCATCTTTATTCACAAGTAGGTAGAGATTACAATACAGTTTGCAGGAGAGAATAACTGACTTTTAAGCAAAATTAAAAGCAAAATACAGAATTATAAGGCCTGAAATAAGCGACAAGCACTGCCACTCACCACAGGGCAAACCTCAAGCATTGAGTAGCATGGAAGCACTCTAGGCTTGATGACACAGGTGAATGAAGCCCTCTAACCTGTCTCTTGCCCCTTGCTCACAGCTGTGACACTGCTCTGGACTCAGTCTGAGGCACAGAGGGCTCCAGGGCAGCCATGCCCCACACCTGAATCCATGCAGCTGCAACAAGTTACTTGGAAAGGCAGAGCCTGCACATGGAAGCCACCAACTGAAACCCACAAAAACCATTTCACCCAAGCTATGAAAACAGTAAGTTTTGCCATACAAAGTTATTACTTGTCTGGCCTAGAATCAAAGGAACAACCTAGACTGAAAGGGTCCTTAAAGACACCACTAATGCATGTGCAAACACCCACTGTTCTTCCCCTCACACTAACCCAGTTTCCTAAATCTTTAAAGACCCAAACTGCATGCTCAAGAACTCCCCTATTTAATGTTACATGGTCAGTGGATGTGGACAAACCAGAGCAACATAACTGCGGGATAAAGTGGTAACGAATGCAGAAACCACCCGAGCTGGAAGGCTAAAAAGCACAAAGCATTAACGATCCCATTTAGAGGCTATCAGAAAACTGCTCTGTTAAGATGAACCCCATTTAGCCTAAAACCCTAGCACCTGCACACACAAAAAGAACCAGGAAGAAAAAGTATTCCATGACAGAGAGATACAATAGACACTAAAAACTGCTTGTTTCTTAGGTGTGTATAAACCCCAGATTGTTTTGGTTTGGGCTTCTTCTTTATAGGCCCTGCTGATTTCCCAGCACACCACCCAAATATTGGGCAGCAAGTCATATTTCCTTGACTATTTAGCTGTTCAGAAACTGTTTGCTCAGACGATAATCATCTGTAGTCTGAAGAAAGCATGAACATACACACATGCATTTGATTTATGTGCTTATCCGCCACAAGCAGCCCGCCACACCACATCCCACCTCATTACCGCTCAGTTACAAGAGTAATCCTCTGTTCAACCCACATCCCACTGCTGACACCAGCAAGAAACAAGGCTCTTGGTCACCCTAAAGTTTCCAACCTGGAACTCTGATATTTCCGTTGTTTAGAAAACAAAGATGTTTTCAACCCTTGGGTTTCCAGTTGGAGGACCTCTGCACGCAGTAGTTAAGCATGTTGGTGCCTCCAACCCCTGGGTCTATGGGGTCAGCACAGCCCTGGAGACACCCCATGTCTGAGAACACCCCATGTACACGCACCCCGCACACACACACACTTGAAGCCGTTTGCGGCCGGGCAGCAGCTCCGAGCAGCCGCAGGGCCGGGAGAGCCGGGCCCAGCTGGCAAAGCTGCTCCATCACCCCCCGCTTAGAGGCACAGACCAGAGCAGGGGGCGCTGCACCAGCCTGCGCCGCTCTCCTGGGCACGGGGCGCCCCCGAACCACCACCGGCACCGGGGCCCGGAGGGCGGGCAGCGCCCGGAGCCAGCACCGCAGCGGGGATGTGGCACTACCGGGGGGACGGCGGGCCCGGTGCTGGGAGGAGGGGCCGCGCCCGGGGTCACTCACTCGGTGATCTTGGGGTCGAGGTTGCCGATCCAGAGGCGGTGCCCGTCCTGCAGCGCGCCCTCGGACAGGATGGAGGCGTTCTCCAGCGGCAGCGCCTGGCGGCCCGGCTCCATGGCTCTGGGGGGGGCACCGGGGAGAGCGGCGGCCGCGGCGCTGGGGTCGGGCCGGGCCCGCACTCACCATGACACCGCGCGGGCCGCTGCCGCGCCGCTCTCGCCTAGGCCTCGCCTCGCCCCGCCCTTGGCGACGACTTGTGACGTACGGACGCGGCGCGGGCCGATGACGCTGATGGAACGCAAGGGGCCGCGCGACGGTGAGCGAGGCTGCGGGCGGCCACGCTCCCCCCTCCGGTCCCGGTCCCGGTCCCGGTCCCGGTCCCGGTCCCGGTCCCGGTCCCGATCCCCGGCCCCGGTGCACGGCGGGAGGGGCGGGGCTCGGGCCGGTGTCCGCGGGGCACCGGGGGGAGCGCGCGGGAGGGGCGGGGTCGGTGCGCCCCGAGGAGAGGGAGGCAGAGGGGGCGGGGCCAGGCGAGGGGGGTGGAGCCTTGTGAAGAGGCGGGGCACCGAGGTGGGCGGGGCACCGAGGCGGGCGGAGCCTGCGCACACGTGCCCCGCGGTGAGCGGGGCCGGGGGACGAGGCGCAGCGGTTCCCCCCGGGGCCGGCCTCGGAGCGGCGGGGAGCAGGGAAGGGCCGGTCCGGTCCCTCCCGCAGCCGGCAGTGGTGGTGCCCTGGCTCCCGCACCCATCGCGGCCTTGCGTGGCAGGGACTGGGTTTAACGTTTGGTTCTGCAGCTCCGAATAAAGCTGTGGGAGCTCAGCGGGGTTTGGGGCCGCAGGCCACGTGTGGCAGCAATTAACGGTTCTGTGCAGCTGATGTGTGGATACCAGCTCCCCTGATGTGCTGTTCCTGCTTAACAGAGCCTGTGCCACAGGCCCCTCTGGACGGCTGTGCAGATGCATTCCCATGCAGCCCCTTCCACTGAATTTGCCCGCTGGTCACTGCAGAGCACCCATAGGGCTCAGCTCCCACCTCACACTGATAGGTACAACTGAGACCTGAATCCATTTCTTAGCACTTGGACCACCTGCCTCTTCTCTTTTCCAGGTGGGTTAGAGAGACGCTGTAGACGATGGCCATGGCACTAAGATGCTTCTGGCATCTGCCTTCCCTGCTTTATCGCTCCTCATTCGCAGTGAGATGGGGGCTGCCACAGGCTCCCACGGGCTGCCCATCCTTGCTCCTGGATGGCTGCAGGCAGTGTGTCCATCAGGTGCTGCTGACCAGACAGCTAGCTACCAAGAAAGGTAATGGGTTTCCTACTGTTTGCAGCCCCTCAGTATGTTGGCAGAATTTCCTTTCCTGTCCCCTTTATCTCATGTACAAGTATTGATCTGACTTAGGCAGAACGCAGCTCTGGAGGAGCTGGTTTGCCTCATGGTGTTGCAGTGCATGGGAAATGTTGGCCCTTCCCCTGGGAGAGCTGCTGCTGCTGCTGTGCTGGGGCAGCGGATATCAATCATCACAGTCCAGGCTGAAGTCAGTTCACACAGTGTAACCAACAGATACATTTTGTGCTTAAGTGCTGGGCTATTTACTCATTAAAAAACATGGTTATTTTGGTTTATCTTGGACTCAGTTTTGATTCTAACAGGGAGTTGGTTAATGTCTTCTTTCTGCTTTAAAATGCAGCCTAACTGTTGTCAGAAATAGAACCTAATTTTTTATATAATCTGCAGCTAAAGGTAAAGGGCAGAGTCAAGCCAAAGTGAATATCAGTGCTGCCCTAGTTGAGGATATTATCAATTTGGAGGAAACCAGTGAAGACATGCAGGCGGTGGTAGAAGCTCTGAAAGAAGACTTAAGCAGAAACCTCAGTGTTAGAACCTCACCAGGTTGGTAACCTTCTTGCATGATGCTCTATTGCCTGTAAAGACGGGTACCTTTCCTAGCAATGAAGAACTCTGATTTTTTCCAAATCTATTTTCTTTTGATTGAGTTATTCACTGGGCACCCAATTACTCCAACCTTGATGTCCCCCAGCTAAAGGCTTTCTTCACCTCAGCTTGACCAGGAAGAATCCATTTTTGTTAATAGCTTCCTGGAAATAGCTTTCCTAAGTGGGAGATGTCAAAAGTATCTAACTGAACCGTTTGCAGATGTGATGAAGAAGCAGGTTGTCAGCTAATGGTGCAGTAGGGCAGGAAAAATCCAATTGCCATTAAATTAGCCTTTTGGAAACTGCCATCAGGCTGGTGTCTGGCATATACAAACTTCTTTTTGCTGTGCATCTTTGTGTTTAGTGACCTTCACAAGCCTTGTTCATTTAATGAAGTTTGTGTTTTAGGAAGAAACGTGAATATATTTGACTAAGCTACAGTTACTATAACACTCTGAACTATTTGTAAGTAGTATCAAGTTTCAAGGATAAAACTTAACATTAAACAATGACCAAGCTTGAATCATTCACCACCCCAGCTCTGGCAGGGGAACATCAGTCTTTAATGGAGTTGGAAAGCATAGCTCAGGCTCTTAACTATTTATTTTAACCATAGGTATGTTTTTTAATTGCATTGATAAAGTACCTCTTGTCCCCTGTGCCTTTTGGCCTGTTAACATTTTGCAGCAGAAACTAGAGAGCAGATTAAGAGTAGCTCAGGGAGAAACCGAATACTTTAAATTAGGCCGTGTACAACACCCCCTCTTGGGACTTGGAGGGGGGGAAAAAGTGAGGGGTTGAAGAGAACACTGCTACATTAAAGACATTACTCTTGATTTGTAGAGCAACAGTTTGATTTTCTTTATCTCTAGGAATTAAAAAATAACGATTTCCTTTTAATTCTTAACAATCCTGCTTAGTTTTCCTATTTAGTAACAAAAACAAACACGAGTTTTGTTTCTATGTTTTTGTGCTTTACAGCAGCGTTGAAGTACTTAGGTTGCAAATACCACCGGGGATGCAGGAACACAAACAGCATCTGAAGTCTGAATAAACATGGGTTATTTTCCCTTTGTAACATCTATATTTTGCATAGCACAAGGGAAGTGGGACACAGTGCACGCATTTTCCTTCAGCTTTGCTGTATCACACTGAAACCCCCCTGTGTTTGGTTCTTTTGAGGGGCCCTTGATCACATCACCGTGGTGACAAAAGATGGGAAGTTTCCGCTGAACCAGCTGGGGCAGATCTCCCTGAAGTCACCGCAGCTCATTGTAGTGAACATGGCCAGTTTTCCAGAGGTAAGGACACCTCACCGAAGGCATTGCAAGGGGAGATCATTACCACGGGAACAAACAGGTTGATGCTGAACATCCCCTGCAGAGACTCGCACGGAGTGCTGGGCAGCCGTGCAGATAGGAGCAGTAAGAGCACAAGGTTAGCTATTCATCCCGCTCCAGGTCTGGAGCTTTGCCAAAGCTTATCTCTATTTATTTTCCAAAGGCTTTCCCCAATTAATTAAGTCAGCAAAGTCTCAGAGGAGGTCAGTGTAAAGCACTTGATGCCTAAGTGTTTCTTAAAGTGCATCCAGCATGTATAATGGCTTTGAAGAAGGGAGGCTCCTCATCAGCGAGTGCACCGAGGTCCCTTGGAGTGCCAGAGCGGAGAGAGCCAGGGAAGTCACTCCATGACTATAGCCCATGTCCAAGCAGGAGTTCAGGCTGAGAAGTGGGCATGTGAGACATTAAATAGCCCGCTGTATAGCATTGCCTGCGTTGGCTGTCTAAGCCAAAGGGCAATTTTTCATTGAAACTAGAGTAGAACTGCTTCTCTCAATGCAGTTAGTTTATACCATAACTGTTCCATGGATAGATTGAACTCTTTAAAACCATTACAGATAATTTACTTGATGTCATTATTTACAGCATATTGTCAGTACTTCATGGCATTGAAAAGCAAATAAAAATGCCTGAAGAGTCTGGAAAAGAAAATAATCACAGAAAAGGACTTTCAGGGCCAAATTCTGTTTGCCTGGGAGTTATAAAACCAAACAAGACTGTTTTTAAAGCCTGGCTGTTTATTCCATGGGCTGCAAGTTGATGGAGCAATGTTGCAGTATTTTCCCCTTCCTCTATCTCCTCCAATCTGTATGTTAAACAACACAGCTTTTACTGAGCATTTCCTTCCTACAGAGCAAGCACTGTCCATAGAATAACACATTTACATTCCTAATGTGCTGAGATCATCTTGGTTACGTTTTCTCTGCCCTTGTTGTGTTCTATAGGACAGCAGTTAGGTCTTACAGAACACTAGCATTCATTCCGTTCAGTGATGGCACGCGTCGGAGACCTAAGCAGATATGCCAAGCTTAACTTTCTGCCTCAGTTGACAAAAGCTGAACTGATAAATACATAATAACCCTAAATACAGTCTCCTGCAGCAGCTTGGAGCCAAAGTGAATGATGGGAAGGAGTATCAGAAATAGCAATGTGCCTTGTAGGAAATACCACATGAATACAGACTCGCTCGGTGTTGTTACTGACAATGTCAAGAACGAAGCGACCTGGCAGAGCGCTCCTCCTGGCAAGGCTCTGATTTAACCATTCAGCCTGTCACTCTGTAAAGGTACACCAGGGCCCTGGGATGGGGAAGGAAGCCTCTTAATCACTTTGCAGCTACCCCATTGCAGCACCCCCTGTTTTGAGCAGAGCAGAGTAGCCAGCCAGTGGTGGTAGAGTTTGGAGAAGTTAATCCCAAGTAATAAGCTGCGAGATAAACATAGAGCTGGGCACAGGCACTGTTTCTCAGCCAACTGCTGCTGGCCTGATGTGATGCGGTCAGGCTGTAGTGCCGAAGTGGTTAAGTTGCTGTGTGATTTCTAGTGGGAAACATTCAACTGGAATTTCTAAACGCTCAGAATCTTTCATCTCCTTCGCCACAGTCAGGCGATGTCTTGGGATTTTATTGCGGTTTCACTCTGCGTTGCCTCAAACCAGTCAAATAGTTTCAAAGAAGCCAAACAGTTTTCTTTTGTTGTTGCTTCCCTTCCCCTCTTCCCCCCTTTGTGCCCCCCTGCCCCGATACCGAGCGCAGCCATAGTTTCCCATTCGGTTTGATCAAAGCTCTCCGCACCAATGTAACTTCCTGATCTTACTGGTAACAGAAGTAAATGTTTCCATGTTCCATGGAGATGGATTGCCAACTATTGACAGAGTTCTGGCATATGGGAGTGATTATTTCCTAATTCCCTTTACCTTTTGATCTGTTTTACAGAGCACAGCTGCAGCTACGAAGGCTATAAGGGAGAGCGGCATGAACCTGAACCCAGAAGTGGATGGGACAATAATCCGGGTGCCAGTTCCTAAGTGAGTATTGATGGCTGCCCAAGTTCATCATCGTGCAAGATAACACAGTGGCTTGCAGTGAGTGCCCTTCAGAGGGGAAGCATGCATGACTGCTGTAATGTCATGATGCAGCTGCTTTCCAAGTAGCTGTATTTCAGGTTCAGAAAAAAATCTGAGCCCCTAAAAAATGGCTGGAGGAAGCTCTTCCAAGTGTCTGAGCTCTAAGTCATCACATTTTGGCATCTAATGGTTGGTCTTATTGTTCTTTATCTTCCCCCTGCAGAGGAGACTTGGTCCTAGCTGGCTGCAGCGCTTTCCAAGAGACAGCCAAAGGCTTTTGAAGCTGTATTGCTTCAAGTCAGGGGCTGATTCTTTGCTGCCCTGCTGTAAATTCTTTGAATTGCACCAGCATAGAGTAGCAGCAGCACTGGTGTGAACCAGCAGTCTTAGGGGCGAGTAGCACCTTGCTGCAGAAAACACTAAAATGTGGTGATGAAAGAAAGGAGGAGGAAATTTATAGCTTTGACTAAGGAATCCAGTCCCTCTTCTCATGTAATACACATTGTGTAGCTGATGGCTGTGTGGAAGTTTTGGAACAGACCTGCTAGAAAAGCAGGCTGCTCCTGGCTGAGGCTTGAGCATCGCTTCCCTCACCCATCACAGGAGTATCCCAGCCCTTGGACAAAGCAGAAGGTGCTACTGCATCAGTGCTTCAGTTTGGATCAAGAGAGCGCTTTTGAAGCAATCCTGATGATCCCTGCTTAGTGTGCTTTGGGCTGCAGCACGCTGGGGGCTCCCCCTGTGAATGGGATTCCTTTCACATGAGGTACCTCATCATACTAGAGAGGTACCTTCTGGGAGCTCAGGGAGTGCTCCCCCACTGCACACATGTGTTTGGTCCCTGGGACCAGGCTGGACCTCCCAGCAGCGATGCTCCTACTGCTGCACAACTGGCCTGTATAGACAGAGTGTGTGAGATGGGCAGGACTGGGTGTTGCAAGGATAATTCATGGGTTCCTGTGGCTGCTTAAACCCTGCAGCCATCTAAATGGCCTGGCTGGGTGTACATGGCCTCACACCCTGGGGTTACACAGTGCTGGACCCACAAAGGGTGAAGACAGCTCCCTACACTGCCTGGGCATGCAAACCCCTTGCACGTGCGCTGTGTTTTACAAGCAGGTGACTTCTCAGTCAGGATGAGCCAAGTATTCCTCGTGCTTTACACCTACTTTTAAAATTCTATGGAATGTTTTTTTCCCTAGCATTTTGATCGGAGAAGTGTAATTGCAGCTTTCCGTTGCTGTCGGTGAGAGGGAATGACATTATCATTCTATTTGCTGATTTTCTTTTCCCCGTGCTCCCTGCCCTTCCCCCATTCCTCAGGAGAGGAGGAGGAGGAGGAGGGCACCATTATCTTCATAATTGCTGAGGCTCCCGGGTTGCTGCACAGTGGTTTGATTGTTAATGGGCACTTGGGTCATCCTTGAATAGGAATTGCAGGGGAGGAAACTCCAAAACTGAAAATCCCAATCTTTAAAAAGATATTGGTTTTTAAACAAATCTGTCACCGTCTTTTGCGGTGCTGCAGAGCTAAAATGAGTCTTCTCTCTCCAGGGAGGATGTGCCTGGTGTGCTCCCCTGTTCCTCTGGTGTGTAACGGGTGCAGGTCCTGGCCCCTTTCTCCCTGGCTGGTTGGCAGCCCAGTGGGCCCTACGTTAAATAGGTTTATAGCCTGGGAGCTGTGCCCTACAGGTCTGCCTCTGCCATCCCGTTTGCTCTTTAGTACCATGACTGGGTCTGTCAGAGTTTCAACCACTTACCAAAAGACCCTCTCAACCTTAAAACCTTCTAATGCACAGGGAGGGTGGAAATAGTCAAATTCTATTAGCGGCCTCTCTTTAATACTGTATCCCTGAATGGCTGTCTTAAATTATCTAAGTTTTTCATTTTCCCAGCCCTTCTTTACAAAATACACAAGACAAATGCAGAGAGGTTGCCCAAATGATGGCAGGTGTGAAAAATGAGGAAGCAGATCAGAAAAGAAGAGACAATAGAGATAAGGTTGTTTCTACAGAAATCTGTTCTTTCACGAGGGAAGGCACAGTAAAAGTAATATCAAAGCTGACCTGTTACTAAAGGCACTTTTTAGCCTGCTCTATCAGCCGGACACGTGTCGTTGTGCCTTATGCAGATCCAGCTTCAGCGCTTGCGCCTGTTTCAGCTGAGTATTTGAAGATGGAGTTTACTTTTCAGTATTTATTCTAGGAGTTTAGCTTTTGCATTGCAGTTGTAGCAGAAAAAATACACTCGTTCCGCTGGTGTTTACTTCTGCTGCCTGCTCGGATCCCCTCTGCTCCCTAAGGCATTCTCCTGTTTGTGTTGCTAGCACCGCACAGGCAATATTTATTTGTGTAAAAAGTATTCTCTGAGGGTTTTAAAAGGGGAAAAAAAAAAAAAAGAAGAGAAAGAAAAGCAGCCATGGGAACATTCGTATTGGTTGATCTCTTGGCCGAATTTGACCTGACCTTGTGTCTTTTCTGGTGGTGCCTCATTTTTAGATTCATCTTTTTTGGACCCATTGTGTTACGCTGGATATTGTTTGTAAATCAGTCATATTTTTACACATGCTTTACTGAAAGCCAGATGACTCTTTTGAAAGTTTAATGACTCATTGTGAGCGTTTTTCTTTTCCCTTTGCCCTTTAAGAAATATGCAAAGATACCTACGACAGGGAGAAAGGACTCCAAGAAACCCTCTCCTTTGAAAGAGCCCAAAGCTGTTTCTGCGCTGCGTTACTCTGGATCGCTCATCATCAGAAGCCTCTTGCATGCTTTTTGTTGAGCAATATACGTTGCACCCTATGTTTATCTGCAATTATGCATGCAGAGTATTTAGTTAAGCCCACTTTCCTTTAACTGATCCCTCTCTTCACAGGAAATTCCTAGTGTTTGAGATACAGAAATTACTCTTACCGCAGAAGCGTCTTGCGTTGGAGACGTGACCCATGTTGTGCTCGCTGTGGGTCTGCTTCTGCTGTATGAGAGGAGCATCCAGGGGTTGCAGTGCTTAAACCACTGGTCACTGGGGGAAGCAGAAAAAGAGATGTTACCCAAGGGGTTGTGTGCATTTCTGAACACCCTGGCGTGTCAGGAACCAGCCTCCATCCTGATCCTGGCAAGGGCAGGATTGTCCCTGAGGGAATGGCAGGATTTGAGCCCACTGCTCCTTGCAGTGGGGAGAGCAGAAGGGTCAACAGACAGGGACCTTCTCCCTGTTCCCCACTTCTGGCACCCTTCCCCAGGTTCACTTTATGCTTTTGTTGGCTTTAAAGAGGGGGTAGGGACAATGGTTACTAGACAGAAAAGAAAACATATCTAAGAACAGCTTAAAAGTCCCAGATCTGGGGGCAGGATTAAACAACTGTCCTTAGAAACCATGGGCCTGGCTCGTGTTGATGGATTCCTTAACCAGAAACAGCATCTGCTTGAAAAAGTGTCCGTTTCTGGCATTGTTGGTAGCATTGCTGAGAATTTACACACAGTCTGGCTGGAACATAAAACCCGCTGAGAAACTCCACGGCACTGCGCAGTGATAAAAAGAAATTGGTGTTAATAAAGACAGACAAGGAGGCATGAAAGCTGTGACCCCGTGCCAAGAAGCATAGGAAATCTGGCAGCGCTGCATAAACAAAAACATTTCCTTAAAGGCTCTGCAGCCCCAAGCAGGCGAGTGATACCCTCGGCACAACTCGGAGTAACCGAGCGGGAGCAGGGAGGCGAATAGCTGTCGGCGAGCTGGGTCTCCCCAGCCCTGCTGCAGCCCAGCTTGCCTCGCCACCCAGCAGGAGATGGGAATTCCAGCTCCCTCCTCCCAAGTTTAGCAGCCAGGATTGACTCCCTACCCCCCTACAAAGCTGCCTGAGAACCTGACCTCACGCAGACCCCTGTTTGTGAGCCGGCTTTGCTGGTTCCGCATGCGCTGCGGGACCTCCGGCTGGGGAGATCGAACACGAGAAGCCCTGAAGGCATCGATGTTGGGATGCAGAGGAAACCACGAGTAACCCCACTCACTTTAATTGGGTGTTTGGTCCAGCTTGGAGCCTGTACTGACCAGAAGCTCTTGCCACGTGTGAAATCCACTGCCCATCTCCTCATGGAGCGGGATGGGCTGGGGGAGGACAGGGTGCCTGCAAGGCAAAGCTATGGATGCCAGGGCTGGGTCGCTGCTCTCTCTGTCAGCTTTCCCAGTGATTCCAAATCCCCGTTATTACTCATCACTTCTGGGAAGCCTATTCCCTCTTGCACCATGAAATGAAGATAAACTGGCACGAGGCCAGCGCCTCTGCAGACATCTGCTGCGAGCAACCTGGGAAGGTATCGGCATGTGCGTCACTCGCTGGGCTCAGCGCGAGCTTGGGAAGGGCTGAGGGTCCGACCGTGCCCCAGCAGCATCCCTGTAACACACCCCCATGCATGGGCAGAGCCGCTGCTGCCCGGGGAGCCCTCGCCCCGCGCTTCCTGAGCCCCGTGCAGGAAGAGCCCCGGCCTCAGTGTTTTGGTGACCCGGGGCTGCTGCAGCCGATCTCTAAATACTCCTGTGAGATGTTTATTTTGTAAGAGCTGCTGCAAGCAGACGGGCGCTCTCCTGCCCTCCAGCCTCGGGGGGAGCACAGGGGGTTCATACTCGAGGGGGTCTGGGAGCTCCAATAGCCACGATATTGATTATTATTGTTAAGCACTAGCAGTTGATGTTGACAGTGATGAGCTGGAGATGCTGGAGCGGTACCAGAGCTGAGGTGACGCCCCAGCCGTTCCCTGTGCCTTATTCAGACGGCCAGGCTCCCTCATCACCTTGGCTTGGGATAGCAATCTGAGGGTTTTATTGAGGCACCACAGCAGTAACTGGCCCCGTGTCAGGGGGAAAGTGGAGCTGAAGTTCTCCTGGGCTGCATTACCTGGGGTGAGCCATGTGTAGTATCATCCTCTTGTCAAAGCATTGTCTTGGTGGAAAAGCCTGGTCGTGATGAGCTGGACTAAGGCTGAGTGAAACATAAGCTCTGTAGCTTCCAGATACATAATTCAAGCTCTTTGGCTGCAGAGAGACAATACCAAGAGTTTCAGGAAGGGACAGAGGTTTCCTCCCAGCTTTGCAGGATTATGCTTTTCAGCTCCATCTCTCAGGTCTGGAGCTGGATTTTCCCCTCTTTCCCACAGATGCTTTGGCAGCAGAAAAAAGGAAACTCTGAACATTTCAGCATAAATTTCAAGCACTGCAGTGACAACTGTAAACCAAGTAAGATCCAGTCCAAGTCCATCAGCTTAGGGCTGTGCTGGGAACTTCCCATGCTAGGCTCAAGACTTGCTTCACTGGGGTGTGCTGCCTTGGTGGTGCTGTGCAGAGGTGGCTCAGGTGGACCCAAGCAGGGTGAAAATGTGCCCAGAGCTGTTAAATCCCTCTGCAGTACAGAGCTCTATGATTAACACAGGCAGCTTTTAGGTGTCCCTGTGCTGTGGCAGAGATGATCACTGCATTTACCCGAAGTCCTCTGCAGAAAACGAAGCTGGCTGTGCCACACATGACACTGTTTTTCCTTTTGGTGTTCTTTTCCCCCTCCTTGCTGCTAGGGTAACCAGAGAGCACAGGGAGAGCCTGGCCAAGCTTGCCAAGCAGTCCACCAACAAGTCCAAAGAGGCGCTGAGAAAGGTGCGAAGCAAAAGCATCAACCAGATAAAGAAGAGCAAGAGCAAAGTGTCTGAAGATACCATCTGGCTGCTGGAAAAGCAGGTAATGCATTCTTTTCTTCTGCCACATCACGATGTCTCAGAGCTCTGGTGTGTTGGTGCCAGCCCTTTGCTGACAGATCTCCAGCACTGAGAACCCAGCTGGGGAATGGGTGGCCCGGGGCTGGATGTTTTGAGTCAGCACTGGCTGTTGTATTTGCTTTTTCTTTATGAGATTTGGGGCTTCAATCTCAAAGCCAGATTTATGATACTAACCATTGTAAACTGACACAGGGGGAAAAACTGTTCCCCAAAGCTTTCAGGCTTACAGGGGCTGTTGCACAAAGCAGCTGAACTCGGGGAGCAAAACGACCTACATCCATAGCTTTACCACCATTTACACAGGGCCTGGCCACTGCAAAACAGCTGGGGTTAATGAGGATTGCTCCAGTTTGTTATTAATGAAAAGGCTAGCGAGATTATCTCTGTTAGGAGTTTTTGGCTCCAATTCAGGAAAATACTTAAGCACATGCCTAATTCCCTAAGAGCAGATGTCACTAAAGTCAATTACTTGGGCATAAACTCAGGCGCAAGCCTAAGTGTTTTGCTGAATTGATGCCTCTGAAGGCAGGCCATTACTTTTTAGCTGTTTGTTTATTAACAGCTAAAGTTAGATACATTGCAAATGCTTTGGGACAGTTCTCTGTGTGCTCACAAAAATAAACATCGATACACAGAGCGTTTGTGCAAGCAGGAAAAATGGCCATGCTATTGTAACCGAATCCTGTTGGGAAGCCGCTCTCCCAGAGCGGGCAGATGGTTTCTGCATTTGTGGAGGTATCGGCTCAAGTCTAGTTTTCGCTTGTACCCAAATGTTTCGGTGTGAGGAAAGGTCATCATCATGTAGAGAGTGCATCCTAATCAGTCCTGGAAAACTGGTGCATAACCCCCACCCCGATGTGCTCCAGCCCTTACCTGCGCTCACTCAAATAAGCACGTGCACATTTTGGTCCCGTTTCCATGCCTGCCACATCCATCCGGTGTTTCCAGAGTCCTGCTTCCTGGGCAGTGCTTCAGCAATCACCGTTTCGTTTATTTTCATAAGAAATAAACAGATCAGTTACTTGACGTGTGAATCCCTAGCACGTACCAGGGCTGCGCTCCTGCTGTTACCTGGTTGGTTCTAACAGTGGAGAGGCTGCAGGAGGTGACAAGGTAAACTCTCTCTTCTCTGGTGCCAACACCAGCAGGTCTCTAACTCTGCCTTCCCTAAAGTCCCTCTGTTAAACAAGGACCAAGTCACTTGTGAAGCTCAGCCAGGAGTTGGTGTGTGTCTCTTTTCAAAGCCTTTGACCAGTCCCTGTTCTCATTGTACACATGCAACACTGGCACGGAATCACTGAGGGATGGTAGGAGCCCCCATTAAGAGCCAGTTATTGCCCCAGCACTATTTGGGTTTTACTAAGACTTTAGGCTTTGTTTGAGGAGGCGATCCCTTCCTTCGTTTCCCTTTAAACTCTCACCCAGCACACAACTCTGACTTGTACCATGTTGCCACAGATCCAGCAAATGGCAGACAGCGCTGCAGCGGAGATGGACAAGCTGCTGGCAGCAAAGACCAAGGAGCTGCTTGGATGAGCATCATCCAGATGGACACACTCCCCCCTCGAGTAAGGCTGGACTGCCACAAACCCCAGTGACCATCATTTCCCAGAGCCATGGGCAGGGGCAGCTCTGCCAGACCTCCAGAGCAGCTCTGTGCTGGGGTCCCTCCACTTTGTGTTATCCTGGAGGGAGGGGGGATCTCTCCTCACTGGTCTTCATCCCGGTGGCAATAGAATTGGGTGAACTAAGATTAAAATAAAACAACAGGGAGGAAGAGTGGAGACTGCTAGAAAGGGCTCGCATGTGGGAGCCGGGGTACAGGAGGAGCAGCTGCCCTGCTCACCGTGTGCACCAGCCCATTTGAATCCCAGCACCTCGCAGAAGCCAGGACCACTGCAGGAGGAGCCTGTGCTCTCCTGTTGTGAACCTTGGCATTTGGTTTTTTGCTTAAAATAAAGTTAAGATGAGGTGTGGAGGAGCAGCCTTGGAAGAGGCAGCTCCTGGCTGGTTTGGCCCCTTGGGTTCATGCATCCCAAAGGATGTGTTTGCCCATTGCAGTGGCCAGCAGTCATCTGCAGCCTGGCTACTGGGAAGGCATGAGGAGCTTGGCACCAGCTGGTGCAGGGTGGGCAGGGGAGACAGGCTTTGCATTCCCCATGGCTTTGTGGATAGAGAACCGAAACCAGTGCTGTCAGTGTTACCTAGACCAAGACCCAAAACCAACACAAGAACTTGCCAAAACCAGCATCTGCCACCCCTGACCAGTTACAGACCCCCCTGTGCCAGCCACTAGTACCATGTTTGAGGGGGTGGAAGAGGTAGAAGCAGAGCAGGTTTCTGAGCACATCGTGCTTCTCAACTCACGACCAGCAGGTCCTTGCCAGCAGCAGCAAACAGCACCTCATGGAGAGGAGGGAAGGTGGTGGCCAGCCCCATAGCCCTGCTCCCAAGGCATTTGGGTTCAAAGAGCACCAAGTGCTCTGCAGTCCTTAAATAAACAACTCCCAAACCCTTAGTTTGTGTGCAGCGGGGAGGGGGAGGAGGATGAAGGATTTGCTCTGCGAGGGCCCCACACATCAACAATTTCTCTCCTTTGTGTATTTTGGCCAAAGTGCTCACCATGATAAATGAAGGCAGGCAAATGGTGAGCCCAGGGCGCTTGCATGGCTCGGCAAATTGCTTTCAGCCCAAATCTGGATTCCTTTTGACATTTATCAACCAGGCTTTTTGTGCTGTTGCTGCAGCCTCAGCATCCAGCCTGGACCTGAAGGGTTTCCTGGTACCTGCCCTGGAGCAGCAGCTGCTGAGCTGGGTGTTTCTCTAAGCCAGGGCAGGTGGAGAAGCTGCTGCTGGTGCTGCCCATGGGGCTACCCCAGCCTCTTCCCATTCTCTTAAAGGTTTGAGGTGATGGCAATGGGATGACGGAGGGGTGGGATGGTGGATGCAGGCAGTGGAGCTGCAGAGTCACTGCACAGATGAATTTCCTAAGTATTCACTGCTACTCCTTACCCTTTACTCCACCTCACATAAATTAAAACCAAGCAGTAAGATGGCACCAGCACTGAGCTGGGGATGGAGCTGCCCATCCTCAGTGCAGCCATGCCCTATGCTTTTGGGATGTGCCAGGAGGGGACCTGGTGCTGGTCACACTGGCAAGGCAAAACTAGGTGCAAAACCAGCTTTTAAATGTGAAGAAAGGCAGAGACCTGTTCTCTGAGTGGCTGCAGCCAAGCACTGCATGCTGGAGGAGGGCTGGGGAGTCCACTCACCTGCATCCTCACCCCATACACTGTGCATCAACCAGGAGCAGCCACAGTGCCTGCAGATGCTGCTCTCACCCCAATACCAGCAATGCAGCACAAGCAGCACATGAGCCTGCAGAGCTGTGTGACCACAGCCCATCCTGCTCACTGTGGGACCTTGCACCACATGACCAGCATCTTCCATACACAGAGGACTGCAGCAGCACCCACAGCACACAGTGGGTGCTGGGAGACCACCCCCTGCCTGCCATGGGCCACTGTAACCCCCCCCCCCAGGGGAAGAGCAGACAGACACTCACTGTGACTGCAGCCGGCTGGCACACAGGGTGGCTCTGGACAGGTCCCACGTTCCCTTTGCTGCACAAATCACCTGCTGCTCCACACCAAGAGCTGCAGCACGAGGCCTGCCTGCTCCAAACACTTCCTCCATCAGCATCAGCAGGAACCTCTCACTTGGTTCCAGCCTGGATCACACCCAGAGCTGATAAGAAGCTGCAGCTGATGCTGTTGGCGGGTGGGAAGGAGTTCCAGCTGTGCTGAATAGCCCAGGAGGGAAAGGGACTGTGGGCCAGAAAATGGTTGGGCTGGTTGTAACATGGATTTGATGTCAGTGATGCTGCTTTGGCCACCAAATGGTTTGGCCTCAGCAGTTAAATGCCTCTGGATGGTGCAGGGCATGGCAGAGGGCCATGGCCAGACCCTACGGAGCTGTGCCCTGGGCTCTCCACACGCTGCCGTGCTCACCAGGAACACTTTTCCATCGGCACATGCAGATATGGGGCACCAGCAGGTCCCACATGGCAAGTGCTGCCATGGCCTCATGGGTTGGTGGTCCCCAAGGGGATCGCATCCCATCAAAAGCGGTACCCCTGTTCACATCCCCACTCATCACAGCCCAGGCAGAGACCCGCGTCCTTCCCAGGGCTGCCCAGGCATCCGCACTCAGCTCCACCAGGACACTTGGGTTTGTTCCGAGCAGCTGAACCGGGGCACATGCACCAAGGGGGTGGTGGCAGGGACCGGGGCGGACGGGGCCCAGCCTCCTGCCACCTCCCAGACCGAGCCCCGCGGCCATGTGGAAACGTGAAGCGGAGGCAAAAGGAAGGAAAAACTCCAAGGAAGCTGGAAGCTCTCGACATAGTTAAAAACCAACATCGCTCTTCAAAATAGATGTGATTGCGCTCCTTGTGAGTCATCGAGCAGAGACACCAAGATTGCTTTGTGCCAGGGACGAGCCCGGGCGCTGATTGTGTGCCGCCCGGATTTGTGTAAAACAGACCATGGATGGCATGTCAGAGTTTACAGCTCGCATACATTTTCAACAGTGAGCTTTGCAAAATGTATCAATGTAATCTCTGCCTCCTATATTCCGTGTTGATTAGACACGATTTCTGGCTGGATTTTCAGAAAGCTCAAGTGCTTTTTTAATCACTACAGAAGCTCATTATTGCTTTCCAGTGACTCTTATGTCCTTCACTTCTCCTTTCAGATTAGAGTCTATAGTCAGATGAATATTGGATGATTTCATTACATACAAATGCAATCAACAG